ATGGGCTGCCAAAAGAATCAACAGATCTATGTCGTAAGAAGTGCAGCCAGAGTGCTCCTTGGAGGCCAGGATAGCCAAACTCTGTCTCTCATACTTCGGACATATTGTCAGGAGTGACCAGTCGCTGGACAAGGATATCATGTTTGGTAAGGTAGAGGGTCAAAGAAAAAGAGGAAGACCCCCAGCGAGATGGACTGGCAAAGTGGCAACATCGATGGACTCAAGTGTGGCAACAATTGTGAGGTCAACCCAGGATCGGGCAGTGTTTTGTTCTGTTGTGCATAGGGTCGCTATGAATCGGTACCGACTCGATGGCACCTAACAATAACAACAATAAGATGGTCCTTAGCTCAAAGCAGAGAATACTAGAATGATGTTTACCTGTACTTTATTGTATATGAAGACTTTTGATTGTGTGGATCATGAGACGTTATGGACCACATTACAGAAAATGAGTCTTCTGGAGCACTTAATTGTGCTCATGAGTAACTCATATATAGACCAAGAGGCAGTCACTCAAACAGAGCAAGGGACACTGAACGGTTTAAAATTAGCAACGGTGTGTGCCAGGGTTGTATTCTTTCATCATACTTTTTCAGTCTGTATGCTGAGCAAATAATCCGCAAAGTGGGATTTTATGAAGAAGAATGGGACATCAGGATTGGAGGAAGACTCATTAATAACCTGAGATATACAAATGATACATCCTTGTTTGATGAAAGTGAAGAGGACTTAAAATACTTACTTGTAAAGATTAATGTAAATAAAACAAAAATCAACTCCACTAGACTAATAAATGATATCAAGATAAATGGAGAAAAGACTGAATTAGTCAAAGACTTCATTTTGCTGAACATAAACATTGTTGTTGTTGTTGTCAGGTGCCATCGAGTCGGAACCGACTCATAGTGACTCCATGCACAGCAGAACGAAACAATGTTCGATCCTGGGCCAACCTCACCACCGCTGCCACCCCCGAGTCCATCAATGATGCCACCTGGCTGATCCATCTTGTTGGAGGTCTTCCTCTTTTTCTCTGACCCTCCACCCTACCCAGCATGACATCCTTCTCCAACAATTATTTCCTCCGGACTACATGTCCAAAGTAGGAGAGACGAAGCTTAGCCATCCTGGCCTCCAAGGAGCACTCTGGCTGCACTTCTTCCAAAACAGATCTATTGGAACATAAACATACGGAAGCAGAAATCAAGAAATCAAAGGATATATTGCATTAGGCAAATCTGCTGCACAGGAACTCTTGAAAGTGTTCAAGAGCAATGGTGTCAGTTAAAGGACTAAAGTGTGCCTCACCTAAGTGACGACATTTTCAATAACCTCATGTGATTGTGAAAATTGGACAATGAATAAGGAAGATCATAGAAGAATTGAAGCATTTGAGTTACGGTGTTGAAGGAGAAATTTTAAAGTACCATGGACTGTCCAAAGAACAAACAAATCTGTGTGGGAAGAAGTATAGTTAGAATGCTCCTTAGAAGTCAGAATAGCTAGCCTTCATCTTTCACACATTAGACATATTATCAGTAGGGACCAGTTCCTGGAGTTGGACATAATGCTTGATAAATTGAAGGATCAGTGAAAAAGAGGAAGACCCCAATGAGATGAATTGGCACAGTGGTACCATTAATTGTCTCAGGCATAGCAACGATAATGAGATTGGTGCAGGACTGGGCATTGTTTAGTTCTGTTGTGCATAAAGTTTCTATGAGTCAGTACAGACTTGACAGCACGTAACAACAACAATTCCCCCTGAGGAAGCAGAGTCTTTAGACATGCAATTCCTTTACCTCCTGTATACAAGTGTACATCAAAATTTGCTTGCTTTACCACATCCCTGTCTTGTAGTAATTGATTTCTCTGTGGGACAGGCAACATGAACAAACCATTGACAATAACAGCAGGAAGTCTAGATACCAAAGACTGACTGTTTTAAAGTTTATAAATATATCAACTGCCTTCCAAGTTAGTGTCTTGATAGCAAGCTGACCCTTGTGATGTATTTTGGAGAATGTAGCCTTTCCTTTGAGGTTCTTAGGTGACACAAACAGTTTGTGTTTGACTGATAGCCTAAAGATTGGTAGTCCAAAGCCATCTAGCAGTAATGAAGAAGCTAGGCCTGGTGATCTGCTTCTGTAAAGATTATAGTGAAGAAAACCTTATGGAGAAGTTCTACTTATAGATTCAACATCAGTTGGAATCGACTCTGTGGCTACTGACAGCAACGGCTTATCATTCTACCCTACAGAGAAAGAATGATGAGAACTTAGAACTAGGTACTGTGCTTTCAGACCGTAGCCATTTAGACAATCACACTCCACCAACAACCCATGAATAAAGATACTGAAGTGGAAGAAATAGAAACACCATGGAAAGCAAGCACTGCTATTATGCTCCCTCCTTCAGCTTCTGGGATAATTAAGAGTTGACCACAACTTTGCAGAGAATCATGTTTCTCTGTTTCAACCTTTATATTTGAACCAAATGACACATTCCTGAAATCTAAGGCAAAAAAATTAGAAGCAACACCGCCATTTCAAGAATTTTGCTTCTTCGTTGCAACCTCACTCACAATCTGTTCCTCTCTTTTGGTACTTTGAATTCAACCTGTTCTTTGGCCTACGTAGATAATGAGTAGTAGAGATGGGCATTTACTCCTTGTCTTAGTTATCTAGTGCTATTGCAATAGAAAAACCATAGGTGGATGGCTTTAATGAACAGAAAAGCATGTTCTCATTTGCATTTGACTATTTGACTAGAAGTTCAAATTCAAGGCGTTGGCTCTAGGAGAAAGCTTTCTCTTTCTGCTCTGGGAGATAACTCCTGTCTTAGCTTCTCTAGTCCAACGTTCCCTAGTTCTTGCTACCCCCTGTCAGTACAAAATAAATATTTTCCTTCCAATTTTGTGAACATGCTATTGCAGTCTTCACAAATCAAGCTTCCGAAGACCAAAGAAACAAAACCTTTAGTTCTCAGTACTTCCCAGTCCCGAAGTTGTTTCTCCACTAGCCACAGCTCTAGTTAATGGTGACTACATAGCTCTGGTAGCCTGCGGGTTAGGTATTGGGCAGCTAAATGAAAGCTTGGCAGTTCAAACCCACCAGAAGCTCTGAGAGAGAAAGATGTGACTATCTGTTCCCATAAAGATTTAGTCTCAGAATCTATTATTTGCTCAGCATACATGTTGAATAAGTATGGTGAAACAATACAATCTTGTTGCATACCTTTCTTAATTTTAAACCATTCAATGTTCCCATGTTCTGTTCAAACAACTGCCTCTTGGTCCATGTACAGATTCCTCATAAGCACAATTAAGTGTTGCGGAATACTCACACTTTGCAATGTTGTCCATAGCTTGTGATAATCCATACAATCAAAAGCCTTTGCATAGTCAATTAAGCACATGTAAACATCTTTCTGATATTCTCTGTTTTTAGCCAAGATCCATCAGACATCAGCAATGTCTTCTGGAGCTGTCTTTGAAATGTTCTGTTTATCTATTTTACTTCCTCATTTCTTCCATTTTAAAAAAATACTCTGCACTCAAGAGCAAGTTTCAGAGTCTCGTCTGACATCTATTTCCACTTTTATTTCTTTCCTGTGTTTTTCATGACGTTTTGTTTTCTTCTTGGATGATGTTGTTGATGAAGACCCAGAACTCATCAAGTCTTCAGTCATTAGTGTCTAATGCATGGGATCTATTATTGAGATAATCTTTAAATTTAGGTGGGAATCTCTAACTCATGGCCATGTTTTAATTTTCTTCAGCTTCATTCTGAACTTACACATGAGGAATTGGTGATCTGTTCTACAGTCTTCCCCTATTCTTGTTTTGGCTGATGATATTGAACTTTTCTAATATCTCTTCTCACAGATGTAGTCAATTTGATTCATGTGCATTCCATCCGGTGAAGTCCATGTGTATTGTTGTCTTTTATGTTGCTTAAAAAGTTGTCTGCAGTGAGTAAGTAATTTGTCTTGCAAAATTCTATCATGCATATTTTCACAAAGGCTATATTTTCCAATTACTGATCCTTTCTCTTTTTATTTCTCTTCAACTTCTATATTCTAATCACCAGTAATTATTAATGAATCTTGATAATTGCACATTTGATCCCTTTCAGCCTGAAAAATGTAAAATTCTTCATCTTCATTGGCTTTACTGGTTGGTGCATACATTTGAATAATATTAGTATTAACGGGTCTTTCTTATAGGTGTATGAAAATCCTCCAACCATAGATAGCATTGTAGTTAAAGATAATTTATTTCCTATTATTTAAAGCACAAATTCATCCATTAAAAGCTATTTTAGAATTGTATTGTTGGGTAGGCTATCTTTGAGAGAAAGTGCCTTTCACAAATATTTTCTGAGACCATCATATGCGAGGTTGTTCCATCCTAAAAAGTCACTGTGAAACAGAATCGACAGGTGTCGGTGGTTTTCTTTTTTTAGGTTGTGTGGACTGCATAAAATTGATTTTGAGTGACTGCCTTCAAAAGTCTCTCTCATTTCTCCAAATCCATTCAGTTCTGATTGATTCCTATCTCTCACTTGATTGAGTTTACCTTGACTTTAGGAGTTGAGAATAAAAACATTCATTTTCAACAAAATACATAGGTCTTTTAGTATAAATATTTAAGTATTTAGTGGCTATGTAAACTAGATTTGAAACTTCGCATAGAATTATTCCATTGAATATGCAATATTATTGATTTTGAACACATTATGACATTTTAATGTCTATTAGCAATATCTCTGACCAAACATTTGTAAATGTAAATACATTTGTAAAGGAAGATATTCTAGTCAGTTTTGAATAAAAATTGACATTTTATGAAAGGGTAACCATTAAAGATTACAGATAATTAGGAAAAGAAATTATTCTTCAATCCACGTATCCTGGCTTCAAGTCCATTATCTTATTCATTAAACATGTTTGTTCTTAAATATGCATGGATTTTGATTTTATCTTCTTTGTTCACATTAATTTTTACTTAAGAACACTCTGTGACTCCAGAGCTTCTTCATTGCGTTTTTCACTTCTGCATTTCTGAGGGTGTAGATTAGAGGGTTTAACATGGGAGTGACCATAGTATAAAACACAGCTACTGCTTTATCAATGGGGAAGGAGATTATGGGCCGAACGTACACAAATATACAGGGTATATAGAATAAGATAACTACAGTAATATGGGAGGCACATGTGGAAAGAGCCTTTCGCTGTCCTTCAGAGCTGTGAGTTCTTACGGAGCAAAGGATGAGGACATACGAAGACATAAGAATAATGAATATGAGCATACACATCAGACCACTGTTGGCAGTAACAAGGAGTCCAAAGATGTGGGTGTCAGTGCAGGTGAGTTTCAGCAAAGGAATAAGATCACAGATGAAATGATCAATAACATTGGGACCACAGAAAGGCAACCAGACTATAAAAAGAACTTGAATCAGAGCATGAAGAAATCCTCCAGTCCATGCCATGGCCACCAGGAAGCCACACACTTGACGGTTCATTATGATCATGTAGTGAAGGGGTTTGCAGATGGCCACATAGCGGTCATAGGCCATCACCGTAAGTAGAATAATCTCAGCTCCTCCAAAGAAATGCTCTACAAAGAGCTGAGTCATGCATCCACTGAATGAGATGGTTTTCTTTTTGGCCAGTAAGTCAATAATCATTTTGGGAGCCACGGTAGAAGGGAAAATGCCATCTATGAAGGACAGGAAAGACAGAAAAAAATACATGGGGGTACCTAGGGCTGGACTGGAGGTGATGGTCACTACAATGAGTAGGTTACCTGCAAGGGTGAGCAGGTAGATTATTGTAAACAGTGCAAACAAGAGTTTCTCAACATGTGGGTTCTGCGATAGGCCAAGCAGAATGAATTCTGTCACGTTGTTCATTTGCTCCGTGACTCCAGTGTGGCATTTGGAGATTGGTTAATCTGAAAAAATACAGTAATTGCAATGATGACAGAAATTTTAATTAAGCAAATAATTTCATTCAGAATTATTTGTTTTCAATAAGGCTGATGGAAACCCTGAGCAGATAAACCTACCTGAGGTATGTTTTAGTCACATGAGCATGTAGTCCTCTGTTACACACACATATGTACAAACACACACATGTTCATATACATACACAAATCCAATCACGTACATACATGCACACACACTCATTCATACAATTCACAGCCATTCACACAGACATCGACTCACACACACACACTCTAACACTCTCACACACTCACATCCATAAACATACACATAAACCCTCATATAGAAATCACAAAAATAAATGCATACTCACACATACAAAGGAACTCTGGTAGTGTAGTGGTTGTGAGCCGGGCTGCTAACCTCAGGGTTGGTAATTGGAAACTACCAGTTTTTCCATGGGAGAAAGAGGAGGCTTTCTGCTCCCATAAAGATTTACTGCCTCAGAAATCCTATACAGGGTCACTATCAGTTGGAACTGACTCCAGGGCATACCACCACACCATCACTCACAATACAAATTGATTCATTACCATTGATTTGCAGAGTATCTTTCTTTTAATTTTATATGGGAAGATCCTCTCCCAATCACTGACATAAAGTTTCCCCCCATGGAAAAACAGGAATAAAAAGAGGACTCATGAACAGAAAAGCAAAGTGATAGATCATTTGAAATTAGGAAAGATTTAGTCATATTTCAGAATCAACTGAATTACATGAATGTTTGAGGGAATAGTAAGACACACTATGGCAGTTAGCTTTATGAGTTTATTTTGCTTTTAAAAAGAAGTTTGTAAGATTATCATAGAATCTTTATAGAACACCATTGGAAGGATATATTGAAGGGGATGGAACACGCAACCTGGTATAATATAAGATCTACTAAATGTATCTGAAACTTTTAGAATTTACCATTTGGGGAGCTTTTGTCCTGTTTAGATATCAGAGGATTTTGTAAGTCAAAACTCAGTTAAGGGAAGATTATGAAATATACTCTGAATACCTTTAAGGTGAGGAAACAAAAGCATCATTGTTCATTGGGAGGAACATGTTTTTTAAGAGTCAGACAATTTGAAAATGTGTGGAAGATATATATATATATATTTCCTTTGGGATATTAACTTTGACATGTGATAATGATATTATTCAATTTCTTTGTTATTTTCCCCATTTTATTGAAATCAACTTGCTAGCAACTGTTTTAATTTTGGTTTGTTTACGTGTAAAAAGGTTCTTCCTCAGTAAGACAAAAGCACATAAAGTTTGCTAAATCAGTGAATGTGATATTATTATATAATGCTTTCCACATACTTAAAAATTGTTAATAAGAGAACAAAAATGAGCACGTCACATTTAAATTCATATCCTTGAAATATCTGCTTGTTATATTAAGAGAGAAAATAAATAAACTAAGCATTCTATTGAAGACGTTATAAAAAACCCAATTATATTAGGATTGTTGTTGTTAAGTGCCATCGAGTCGGTTCAGACCCATAGCGACCCT